TTCTGCTCTGGATGGCCTGCCGCAACTGGGGGATGGGGACAGGGGTCTCCACCCTGGAAGCTGTGCCTGCTTACCTGGGGCCAAGTCCCCCTGCACGCTCGGGGACCTCACCGGCCCCCGGCCGTGGCCCCTCCAGGTCCCCCGTGTGCTGCTCTGGCTCATGATCGAGATCGCCATCATCGGCTCCGACATGCAGGAGGTGATCGGGACAGCCATCGCCTTCAGCCTGCTCTCAGCTGGCAGGTGAGCCACCCCCCAGGGACCCCCCCAGCCCACCCAATGGCCCTGCCCTGCCAAGGGGCACACAGCTAACGCCCCCCCTTTGCCATCTCACAGCATCCCCCTCTGGGGTGGAGTCCTCATCACCATCGTGGACACCCTCTTCTTCCTCTTCCTTGACAAGTACGGTGAGTGCCGGGGTGGGGGGACGGGGGGAACGCTTGCCCTGGTGCCAATCACCTTATCCTACCTCATCTCTTGACCCCTCTAGGGCTCCGCAAACTGGAGGCTTTCTTCGGCCTCCTCATCACCATCATGGCCCTGACCTTTGGCTACGAGGTGAAGGGGGCATCTGGGGACACCCCTTTCCCTGCAGGGCGCTGGCAGGGGATGTCCACGGGGCATCCCCACTGGCACCAGGCTTCAGTGGGGGGGTGTCAGCTCACAGTACCCCTTCCCACTGGTCCCCAGTATGTGGTGGTGAGGCCAGGGCAGGTGGAGGTGCTGAAGGGCATTTTCCTGCCCTACTGCCCCGGCTGCGGGCGAGAGGAGCTGCTCCAGGCCGTGGGCATCGTCGGCGCCATCATTATGCCCCATAACATCTTCCTCCACTCTTCCTTGGTCAAGGTGAGACCAAGGCACTGCCACAGGCACTGCCATCCCGGGGTATCTCAGGGGACACTTGGTGGGGACCAGGTGGTCCTGGCTGTGGGACCGAAGGTGCTCGCCTGACCCCATGGCACCCATGTCACCCACCGTGCCCAGACAAGGGCAATCGACCGGTCCAAGAAGGAGGCAGTGCAGGAGGCCAACATGTATTTCCTGACCGAGTCCTGCCTGGCCCTCTTCGTCTCCTTCCTCATCAACCTCTTCGTCATGGCTGTCTTTGGCGAGGCTTTCTACCGCCAGCGCAACGAGGACGTGGTGAGTGTCACTCCGCGCCCGCGGGGAGATGATGGCTGTGCCTGGCTGTGGAGACGGGCAGGGCGAGCATCCCCTGGAGGGTGGGATGTCTTCATCTGGGATGTGGGGGGGGGTCCTCCTGTGCCCGCGGGGACTGCCAGGTGGCCGTCACGCTCGTGCCCGCCGTGCCTTGCAGCACAAGAAGTGCGTCAACAGCAGCGTCAGCCGCTACGCCAACATCTTCCCCACCAACAACGAGACTGTCTCTGTGGATATCTACCAGGGGGTGAGTGGCCCTGCGTTGTGCCCAGTGGGCATCTGTACCCATTTGGGGGACATAGCACTCCCCCCGTTGGTCCCTGGGTCTGGGGGCTGCTGCGACCCCACTGGGAGACCAGGAGCTGATAGGGGTGGCAGAGGAGGGGGACACTTTGGAGTCCCCATGTGAGTGTCCCCACACAGGGTGTCATCCTAGGCTGCTATTTTGGGGCGGTGGCTCTGTACATCTGGGCCGTCGGGATCCTGGCGGCAGGGCAGAGCTCCACCATGACCGGGACCTACGCGGGGCAATTCGTCATGGAGGTGAGGGACGAGGATGCTGGTCCTCACCCCCACGGGGAGCAGCTGAGAAGGAGGGGAATCACGGGTGGGCTCTGGGTGGGGGGTCCTATGGGCAGGCGCTCCTCCCCCAGGGGTATTTGGCAGAGTTAATTGCCCCCCAGTGCCCACAGGGAGCTGGGCATGGGGCATTGCCCACCCGGTGGGTGGCACCTTGCTGGCACGAGGGTCCCCAGGAGGTGGGATGGGGACAGTGCCCACCCATTGCCGCTGCACAGCTGCCTCCACCCCTTGTGACACCTCCTGCCAGAGGCACCCTATGGGTGCCCCACACCATGTTTCCCTAATGAGTTTGTTTGCTTAATGAGCTGGAGCTGACATCTAGCGGGGCCTGGCAGTCCTGCAAGGGTCTGCTCAGTGCCTTAGCACAGAGAAGGGGGTGATGCCCCCCATGTCAATCCGAGCCAGGTTTGGGGGGGGCACCCTGGCACGGTGCCCCAGGCACGGTGAGGGGCAAGAGCGCAGGTTTCGCTGTGTCCCCAGGGCTTCCTGCAGCTCCGCTGGTCCCGCTTCGCCCGGGTGCTCTTCACCCGCTCCTTTGCCATCCTGCCCACTGTTTTCGTGGCTGCCTTCAAGGATGTCAGCCACCTCACGGGCATGAACGACCTGCTCAACGTCCTCCAGAGCATCCTGGTAAGGTGACGGGGGGGCACCGCCTGCCCCCCCAACAGCATCACTTGGCAGCTGTGCCCCTCTCACCCGGCTCTCATTCCAGCTGCCCTTCGCCGTCCTGCCCTTCCTCACCTTCACCAGCCTGCGCCCGCTCATGCAGGACTTCACCAACGGCCTGTGAGTGCCAGGGTGGGGGGAACGCACAGGGGGGCAAAGCGGGGTGCCCTGGCTGCAGGCACCCTCCCTTTGGACCATCCTGCCCCCCAAACCACGCCATGGGGGCAGATTTGGGGGGGGGCACGTTCATTCCCACGTGCCCAGGGCAGCCAGAGCGGGACAGATGCCATCACTACCATCTCCATCCTCATCCCAATGCCACCTCTGACACCCCCCCCCTCAGGTACCCCTGGATCCTCAGCATCCTCCTGGCACTGCCAGCCTTGCATTCAGAGGGTGGCCAAAGCCCACACACCCACAGCCCCATCGTGGGGGTGCAGTATGGCCATGGGGTGCAGAGATGTCCCGGTTGGGGTCACCTCCAACCCCAGATCCCCCAGACCGCTGTGCCTAGTGGCACGTGGGGTGGGGGATCTGCCCTGGCGCTGACACCCGCTCCCCTGCCCGCAGCCCAGGGAAGGTGCTGATGACCCTCATCACGGGGCTGGTCTGCGCTATCAACGTCTACTTCGTGGTGGACTTTCTGCCCACGCTGCAGGGCCTGGGGTACCACATCCCCCTGGGCCTGCTGCTGGTTGTCTACGTGGCCTTCATCGCTTACCTGGTAGGGCTGGCACTGCGGGAAGGGGCAGCTGCATGGGGAATGGCGTCCCCGGTGGGTACCTATCGTCTTGCCCTCTTTGACCCCCACAGATCTGGACGTGCAGCATCGCACACGGAGCCCAGTTCCTGGCCCGGGGCCACCACAGCAGGTTCAGTTTCGG